ATGTAATTGGGACCCTGTGTACACAATTTCCTTCCACCACATGTACCACAAGTGGTGCGAATGACAAATAAAAAAAACTTTGACTTTAAATTTGAAAGAGTGATTACTCTCTTCTTTGTTTTCTTTCTGCTTCAACTTGCCACCTTTCATTAATTTGTTTTTCATTTACTCAGTGTTTAGTTTTAGGTTTTTAGTGTGCTCCCTGTGCTTGTCATGCACATGCTCAGGATCAGCTCACTTCTCTGTCAGATGTTCAGACACCATCTCATTTGTTCCAGTTTGTTCGTTCTGATAGTCGGTCCTTATCTGTTCTGCACAGTAGAAAATGTCCTGTCTGCAAGTTTTCACTATCAGGCTCTAAAAAAAACATGTTAAACTTTCAATCTTTCCTCTTTTGTTTTCTCTTGAATGTGTATATTTAACACAGTACCATCTTAATGAGGGCATTTGTCACACCATGAAAATGCACCCTTTAATCTTAAGATTGTTTAATTTTAGTTTTCATGTCCTTTTTTAAAGTTTAATCATTCAATCAATTTAATGTAATTTAACAGTAAACCAGATGTAAAAAAACAAAAATTTGCGTTTCATCAGTGTTTAAGTTTTTAATAATTCACATTACTCTTTAATGTCCAATAATAAAATCAGATGTAAACCTACCAGACTCGGAGCCCACTTCTTGTAGCGCTGTATCCCATCCAAAGACTCCTCTGACCAATAGTTTCCTTCAAGAGAAAGTTTATTTTCTGAGGATTCAAAGTTTTCAACTTAAATGACTCAAGGAGTGGGGTGTAGTGTACATGTAGTTCCTCATAGAGGCTTTTGAGACCACAAACTAATCAAATTAAAAAATGCTATTTCAGAAGCTGTAGTAACAAAAATTAGACTCTGCCCCATAATGGAGCAGCTCTATCCTCCAGCTGATTCCAGCACTTACCTTTAACAGAGCATGACACAAGCACACATGTTGCCACAGCGATCCAAAGCCCCTCCATAGTAGTTCACATGGACCACTCAAAGGTACAGACTGCACAATATGCTCAGTTTGAACAGCTGTCACTTTGTTTCAACCCCTCAGTTTAAAGCCGAGTGACAGCCTGCAGCTCCAATAGGAGTCATTCAGATTGTTTATCAGTGTGCGAATCATATTATTACAATATGTTTTGTTTTTGTTGACAAAGTTAGCAAGGTCACGATCTGTGACTCCACTGACAGCCTTAACACAAATCTAAATTTGATAATTTGCTACAACATTTGACACAAAAAGGGCAATAGTTAAATAAAAGGTACAAAACAGCTGTTTATTTTCCATGTTCTTTTATTTATTTCAGCGCTATTCAACTGAGCTTCTGGTACCACACGTTCCTGACTAGTGCCTGATTGTCATCATATATCTCCATGGGCTGGGACAGAACTATGTCTATCAAGATGAAGTCATTCATTCAACCTTTATTTATATAGGTTAGTCCCATTGAGCCTCAGGGACTCATTTACAAGAAAGATCTGAAATGAAAACACTTGCCACCACACAGCAGGGCTTATTAGAGACTACCTGCAGCATTGGGAAGTGATGATGGAATAGCCTGCCTGCACTCCTGACCTCGACCCCATTGAACATTTTTGGGATCAACTTTGGTGTACTTTTTATTCCAGACCACATTGACTTGGGACAAATGCTAGTTGAAGAATTAGACGCCATCCTGTAGCAAAGTGTGACCAAACTGGTGGAGGAGGTACAGGGCCGTTGTGGCTGTGTATGGTTCTTCCACATGCAACCATGGCACCTATTAAGAGGAATGTTGACATGTTCCTGTTTTTAGTCATTTATATTGCTTTATGATGTAGCTGGTTTTGTTTTGTTTTTTAAATATCATTATCTTCAATTTCTTTTTCAATTTATATGCTCCCTTTTTTGATTGTCTACTGTTGTCATTGTATTCATCATTCTTTGTTAAAAACAGGTCTCTCTTGTTAGTCTTCAAGGCTCAATGAGACTAACCTGTATACATAAAGGTTGAATTGAAATAAACATTCTTTCTAACATTAAAAGTTTTATTGCCAAAAAGTATTTTACAACAAAGAAATAATAATCTAAATTGCAACTATCAACTAATTTCTGTACTTTTTGTGCTATGTTTTATCAAACCAAGAATTCACAAATGTGCAGGAAGTTGCAAAGTGTTATGTAGAGATCAGTGACGTGCAGTCAGGGGAGGCAGGTAAAATAACAACAATGATAAGTGAAAATACATTTGACCACTTGACTGTTCTATAAAAGTGTTTGATAAAATTGTTTTCTGAATTATTTCAAAACTTCAATGGTCAAAAATCGCAGAAATTACACATTGCCTGTTCAAAGAAATACGGAGTGAGGCAGTGTAGTGCTCAGATTCACCTCTGGGGGCGCTGTGTCATACAATATATGAAGTGGGTGGTTGGAGCATGCCCATTGCTCTCTCTCTTTATATTACCATTGTACATATTTGATTACACATGTGCTACACATGTTGATATTCTACAGTCTGTCTAATATATTGAATGAATGTGTGTGACATATTTCTTCTTTCTACTCATTTAAAATGCACAGGGTGAGGCTGAAAGTAATGTGCCGCACCAATAGGGGGCAGTGCTGCCCCATGGGGACAATGATACAGGTGCAAGTCACTGTGCGTTCGTCTGTTACGCAGAGGGGCGGGGGTGTAACAAATCTGTAATAGTACACTTGTTTAAATTTGTTTAGACAAAATGGAAGATCACATCTCAAAACTAAAGGATTTTTCTAAACTCGATTTTCAGTCGAAATAGAACGTAGAGACTTTCTTCCTTGGCAATTATCTCCATTGAAGCAGCCAGACTTTTAAAAATGAAGGCAAACCACAACGAGTTTTACAACAGAGTTACGGAGATATTCGTGGAGAAGGATAGGCGCGTGGACTTCATTTTAAAATAAAATATAATACATGTCTTTTTTTCATTTATTTAAAAAGAGAGGACCCCCCCCCCCCCTTCCAAAAAATAGTTTGACCTTACATTAAGTATTTTGTTTTTATTCCCATCATTGTTGAACAGTTCATTAAAGCATAATTAGATGCCTTTTTAAAAGAACAAAAAAGGCTAAATTGAAATATAAGCTTCTATGTTGGGTCCATGTATGTGAGCATCCGATTCCAGATGATCAGTGCCTCACCTGTCACAGTCATCACCGCACGCCACTGATACACATACATGCAGTTGCACATATACATACACATCTAGTCATGCATACACATATACATGTATGCACATATGTATTTGCACATGTAAATATACATAAGTGTCCGGAGTGCAGCAGATTTACAAGACTTTTTACTGTACGGTGAGGAGTTTAAGAGTCTGATGGCTGGAGGGACAAAGGACTTCCTGAATCTGTCCATGGTGCAGGTCTGTGACAGCAGGCTACCACTGAAGCAGCTCTGCTTCGTGATGGCACCATGCAAAAGATGGTCAGCATTGTCCATAATGGATAGCAGCTTATTGAGGATCCTTTTCTCTGCCACTGATATAAGGGACTCCTGCTCTGTTCCCAACACAGAACCATCTTTCCTCACCAGCCTATCAAGTCGCCCTCCATCTCTCCTCTTAATGCTGCCTCTCCAACACACAACAGCACAGAAGAGGACACTGCACGACCACAGACTGGTAGAACATCATCAGTAGTTTCCTGCAGATACTGAAGGACCCAAGCCTTCTCAGGAAGTAGAGCCTGCTCTGTAGACTAGAGGGAGTCCGTGTTCACTGACCAATCCAGCCTGTCATCCAGCTGTAATGCCCAGATATTTGTAGGTTCTGACCACCTCCACATTGAACCCCTCAATTGAGACTGGCTTCAGGGTAGACCCAGACCTTCTGAAGTCCACTAGTATTTCCTTTATTTTACTCATGTTCAGCTGTAGATGATTGGATTTGCACCACACTAAAGTCCTCAACCAGGATCCTGCACTCCTTCTCCTGTCCATCTTTCACACATCCAACAATTGCAGTGTCAATTTTTGCATGTGGCAAGTCTCCTAGTTATATATGGTCAGATGTGTAGGCTACAAGGTGAACAGGACTGGTCCCTTGTGATTTATTTGACCGTTTTGGTTTGTGAGGTGAATTTTAGAGGTTAATCGATCACAGTGCAACAAAATTGTGTTCCCAGTATAAATAAATAATAAATTTAATAAATGAGTACGTCAATTTCTAAACTTGAAACATATTTGGCGTATTGTTTTTGTATTACTTGTGCGTATTTTTAGTTTAGTGTTTTTCTTGGTCCGTATCTTAGATCTTATTACAGTTTTTCTTAGACATTTTGTTGGATGTAACTGGGACCCTGTGTACACAATTTTGTTCCACCACATGTACCACATGTGGTGCATATGACACATAAAGAAACTCTGACTCTTGAATTTTTTTTACAGATGTTTCGTTTGAACAAGAAGGCAAAATAGTAAACAAGATTAGAAATTGACGTTTTTTGGTCAAATTTCTTTGCTTCTCATTTACATGACGTAGGCCATGTTTTTTTCCGTAAACTAATATTTTTTTACGCATATAAAGGTTTTTTTTTTTAAGAAAACTTTATTTATCAAAAACAATTTCAAACACATATGGCAATTCACAATAGTGTAAATCTTAAAAGGGCATAGCAGAGGCAGACTTAGATATGGGAACATCAAAGCAAAACTGATTAAAAGAATGATAAGGTAAAAGAAAAAATAAAATAAACTACAACAATGTGGGTATATATTTGGGATTAGGATTAGCATGCATTAGTGGGCAATAAAAAGTGTTTCTTTGTATTTGACGCGGGCACGTTTTCTGCCGGAACGTAATTGGGTGAACACCAGAGCGGAAGTAGCCGATTAGCGTTAGCATGTGTAGCTTGCTCCATGTCTTTGTGTTGTGTTGGTTTGTGTGTGTGAAGTGAATGTTTGTTTGTTTCTGCAGTAAAAATGTCTTCAGTTCAGTCTCTGAGAAAGTTTATCAGCGAGCGACTAACTGTTGCTGCTGAAGAAATATTTACGGAGTTTGAGAAAACCATCGTCCAGTACGAGGAGGTGATCGATCGTCAGCGCAAACTGCTGGACATCAGCTGGAAACCTCAGATAAACCTACACACAACAGGTACAGACCACTATCATTTCTATATTCCTCAGACCTTCATACCTGTAAACTCAGAAGGTATGAAAAAGTACCCCCCCCCCCCCCCCCCACACACACACACACACACACACACACATCCCTGAACATTTTTGTGATTTTTAACATGTAAATTAAGCATTCTGGTACACTACCATGAAGAAAATTAGGGAAAAAGGCAACATGCTTCAGGTAAAAGACGTGTACTAAAATAACTAATTTAATGAGGACATAAATATGAAAGATGGTGTCAACCAAACAATAAACAAACAACTGCAGCAGTGAGACAAATATACAGCAGAGCATTTTGTTAGCAGTAAAAACTCATTTCTTAAATGTTTTGTTTGGCCTGGACAAGACTTTCAAGGGCCTGTGTCCCACTGCTTAGCCATGTGCCTCTTTTGTGCCCATTGGCATCAGAAGCATTTATAATGTGGGGAGGACACACTGTGTGGGGGGTGTGGGGGTCCTTCCCCAGAACATTTTGAATAAACTAATGTCATTTCCTGCATTCTGTTGTAATTTAATGGGTTGTCAAACATCTACGTTTACCTACATTTGTAAACACTTGATTCAGTAATTATTTTACGAGAACGAGAACTCATTTTCAAGAGAGACCTTTTCCACCCACATTTTGATGTTGACGGTACCGGGAGTTGAACCTGTGACTTTCTGATCACAGGCCCATCTTCTAACCTCTGCGCCACCACTCCCCCTATATAATTTACAGGTTCCTTCCTTGCTGCACGTTTCTACACTTCATAATTTTTATTCTCCTTTCCTTCACAATCCACTTGGAATAACATCCATTTCCTTCTCCTCTGTTCCTTTCCCATCCTCATGTGCATGACGTACAATGCTGTTTGACAAGAGCTGTGCACATGAAAATAGTCTTGTTGTTTTCAAAAACAAAACCCAGCATCAAAGTTCACTGGTTTAAACTATGATGTCCGCTTCCTTGGTAGTTTGAGAGTTTGGTGGTTTCTGAATCGTCTTTAGTTTCATCAAATGTTTTTTTTTCATTCAATCTTTATTTATACAGGTTAGTCTCATTGAGCCATGAGAACTCATATACAAGAGAGATTTGTACCAGACAGAACATATAAAGCACAAACAACAATAACACTAAACAATAATAACAAGATTAGAGGTTAACGAGTGTGCTTCTTTTTAGTCACAATAATCTTCTTTATTTTTTTCTCTGTCTTGTATGTCCAGAACCCCCACAGCATTGTGTCTGGAAGGAGGAGGTTCTCACTGATCAGCATCTCTATAATCAGGAGAGGAACTCCAGTTTGGACCAGGAGGAACCAGAACCTCCACAGATTAAAGAGAAACAGGAGGAAATCTGTACCGGTCAGGATGAAGAACAGCTTTCACTGAGGCAGGAGCATGATACGTTTATGGTGACACCTGCTTATGAGGAAATTAACTACAAGAAACCAGAACCTGCACAGGAGGAACCAGAACCTGCACAGGAGGAACCAGAGCCTGCACAGGAGGAACCAGAGCCTCCACAACAGGAGCAGCTCTGTATTTTGCTCTGTAAGTTCAATGCAAAAATCAATGCAGACAGACGTGTTCCTGTTTTTAGTATTTTTACCACATTTGATAATGTAGCTTGAATTTATTTTGTTTTATATTACTACTTTAATGTACTTTTCATTTTATATGCAATTTATAGCTGTTCACTGTTGTGTGCACCTTATCTGTGGTTTGGTCTAAAACGGGTCTCTCGTGACTCATTAAGACTAAACCGTATAAATAAAGGTTGAATGAATGAAATTGGTCAGGATGAAGAACAGCTTTTACTGACTGAGAAAAGGAACCACTCGTAACCAGAAAAAAAGATTGTCCAGAACAACAAAGAGCTTGATTGTCAGCGCAGAACGCTGGAGATCAGCTGGAAACCTTAGATAAAGCTACACAGAATAGGTATGGAGCAGCAGCAGGGATAATGGAGGTTTAACGCGGAGTCAAGTTCAGCTAAGTCTTATTTTACACCGTTTGCAGCTAAAAGTGCTGATTTTCGTAGCTTTGACACACATTTGCATATTTAAATGGAGGTGTGTCATGAGTGAAGTTTTATGTATGCTCAGTTCTACGTTTTTTGATTTTTGAGGGAAAGGTGCAAAAAAACATGCGTGCGCAGTTCAATAAATCTGAATATTTTTGTGTGTATGCAATTTTAACATTTTGTCCCTACGCCATCTTTCTGTATGAAAGCTGCCTGAGGCTCCATCTCACAATTTAAGAGATCCAAGATCAACTTAACGAAAACATGTTTTTCCTGATGTTAATGTAATCAATTATTAAAATTTTTTTTATTGCAGTGATTGCAATTATTAATGCAATATCTCCTTGAATCACAACCTTATCATGGTGGAAGAGTTTGCACACCTTAATGATCCTAGGAGCTATACTGCCGGGAGCAATTGTAATTGCCCCTGGTAGGGTCTCCCAAGGCAATTGGTCCTAGGGGACAGGCCAGACAAAAACTGATTCAGACGAGTCGACTCTTGGGGACAGAAAGGCACAAGGAGCTCAGTGTCCCTTGCCTGGATGTGGGTTACTGAGGCCCCACCCTGGAGCCAGGCCTGGGGAAGGGGCTCATCGGCGAGCACCTGGTGACTGGGTGTCTACCCACAGGGCCTGGTCGGGCTCAGCCCGGACGAGTAACATGGGTTTGCCTTCCTGTGGGCCCACCACCTGCAGGAGGGGCCAAATGAGTAAGGTGCATGACACCATGGGCAGTGGCCGAAGGCAGGGGTCTTGGCGCTCTGACTCTGGCTTTCCAAAAGTGGCTTTTGGGACATGGAATGTGACCTCTCTGATAGGTAAGGAGCCTGAGCTTGTGCATCAGGTTGAGAGGTACCAACTAGATATAGTTGGCAGTGTTTCCCCTAGATCAGTTTCCTTGGTGGGGCGCTTGCCTTATTTAAATTTTTGTCAAGGGGGGCAATGCGGATGAGACAGAGCCTTGTCTGTGTTGCCTGCCTGTTAGCTTAGTGCTACATAGCTGCCGGTGTTTATCAACAATGGGGGTGTCACATCTGTGTTTATAGCTACGTTGCTGTTGTGGGGGAGCGGAACGTCAGCAGTATATTTTGCTAGGATGTTTGTGTTGCGCCCCCCGCGCTACATCAATACCGACCGGGGGGGGGGGGGGGGGGCCCGTTGCCGGGGGGGGGGCCCCGCGCGCTAAAAAGGGGGGGGGAAAAGGCGGGGGGGGCTCGGTTGCCGCGCCAGGGGGCGCGGGACCCCCAC